AGCGCGGCAACCAAATGTTAACTTTCGCAAGGCCAATGTGGGTGGTAAATCATTGAAAAAGCGCCTTGCTGAGTATCTGACATTTAATACTTTGCAGTGTACACTATGTGTATTTCTGCGCTTCGTACACAGAAGCCCAAGCTTTAAAAAACGATCCATTATTTCCGGTTTAAGGAGTACATTTATTCTGTCTCTGAATACACAAACGTACCTTGTTAAAATAAAAGATGCTGCTGCTGAGTTGCTCAATGGACATTCTTTCTTGGAATAGAAGTGGTTACTAAACAGTACACAAGGCCAACCGCTCGGCCGACCGCGCGTACCAGCGAAGATGCGCGGCAATTGTCCACTGGTTACTTGAGCAATCTCCAGTTCAGTACAGCTGGTACACTCTTAGGCCTCAGCAAGCAATTTCCACACCTTGTAATTCATGCAAGTTCGTCTAGGGTGACTCAGTTTGCGAGCCGTGGGTCTGTTTAGATTTTGGAGGGGAGCTGCGAGGGGAGCTAAAGGCGGGGGCGCGGACCGTGCTTCAGCGACTCCCTCATTGGAGAGTACACCAGCTTCAGCCTGTGAAAACATGGGTCCATAATAAATTGCGGTTTGTTTTGTTTTTGTTATGGAAATGCCAGATTCTTTCTGAAAGAATAAAAGTGTTAAGAATCACTCACCGGTCGACTTATAATTGAAGGTCAAATAGTGAGAGCTGGCGTTCCATTAGTGTCGAGCTGCTGAATTTTGCGCGCTGTATACAACATAAATGGAGTTTTTCTGAGGGAGCTGGCGCCCAATTCCGGTGACGGTGGTGATTAGGCAGCGTGTTAGAGCGCAGAGAGGCGGTACCATGCGAGGGGGACATAGTAGAAAGGCGGGGATCGAGGCAATGAAACTTGGATGTAGAATATGCTTGTGTGTGTGAGCTTGCAGGGATGAGACGAGAATAGTTGTAATAGGCTGTTACAGTAGCTCCGCAAGTCCAGTTTTGACACGTGGTGACAAGGGCCGCGCATGGGGTGAAAAACGGATCCAAGAAGACAGGTCTCTGGGGATTTTGTGGGTACTCTTCAGATGAGGCGAGTGCGCGCGAGAGCGCGGGGGGTGTGCGGTGAGTGTAGCAGGCGCGGAAGAGTCAGCTGGCCAGGCGTCGAGCGGGTGCGTGAAACTTTTCAAATGTGCACTTTCGAGTGTGTGTGCGAGCGTGTGTGGCGAGAGGGTTTTCGAGCGTCATGTCGACGGGGGTAGAGAAGGTGTGCGAAGTTTCGTTAGTTGGCGGGATGAGTGTGTCTCAGTCTGTGGAGTGTGTGTGCGTGTGGTGGGCCCCAACTTGTTTTCTTGTTAGTCGTTACAATTGTTTTGTGTGCCCCCTCAGAAGTTTCTGTGCAGTGAACTCTGATTCGTTTCCGCAGAGAGGCCCCAGAGAGGAAGCGGGCGGAGAAACCGGAGTCCCAGTGGGGCCCGTGTGTGGCTTGCTATCTAAAGCTTCTGCTCAATCGGCGCCTGTCGCTTAGAATCCTTCGGGCCATGTCTGTATCTGTTGCATTTGGCATTGAGGAAGCAGATTTCACCTGTGTTGTTGAATGCTTGAAAGCATACAAGCAGCCCAGGAACTCGTGAATGCTCAGGATGAACAGCAAGCAGAACTATGTTTCTGCGCGCGATACAGCCGCACATCGTATCTTAAGATCTGAGCTAAAAGTCCATGAGAGGAGACTGCAGTTTTTTGGAGTGTGGTGACTTATCCCGTGTCTTCACAACTTTTCTTCAAGCGGAAGAGAAGTTCCCTGCCCTTAGGACCCTCCAAAAGCCACTTTACCAGAGAAATGATTGGTTTGCGCGGCTTGTTCCTTGCATTCCAGCTGCTGAATGCTTTTATGAATTGTCAGCCCTGGTCGTTCAATCTGAACGACTTGACATCTAGTCCGTTGCATTGTAACAGAGAGGAAGTATATTACGATAGGCGATGTTTTAATGAAGTCTTTGGGCACCTGTCTTCGTTTGGTGTGTCTTTGCTCTCTCTCCTTCTGTTTCGCAGTTTCGCTCTCACGAACGATCTTCCAGACACGCCCTCTGTGAGTCCAACAGAGACGAAGGAATGTGACACATGAGTAAAAGGCTCCTTGATTTCCTTGACATGCACAAGACTTCTCTCCTGCCAAATCTCTATCACTGAATCTTTTGCTGACGAGTACTCCTCCTTTTGCTCATCATTAATATCCTCGCACCTCTGGCGTTAGCCGTCAACTAGTCAGCAGGGATTATGATTGCAGCGCACGGTCGGGAGTGATCGCAGGATTGGAGCTGCGTTGGACAGTGGCAGAATTTCCTTGGAGAGGTCTTGGTAGTTGAGAGTTAGGAACCGGTGTGTGCGAGTAGGGGGGAGTACGAGGATGAAGTCAAGGGGCAAAGAAGAAACAAATCGCAGAGAGTTGTTCAAGGCGACATTTCATCAAAGACCATCAGTACAATCAGAATGCTGTATTGTCATAGTCTTTTATTTCTGATGTCTCATTCCTGGACAAAACTGAAAAATGAGGTTCTCCAAGGTGTGTTTCCTGTTTGCTCTCAAATGGTCAGCTCCCGGAAAGAAAGGTGAAATATAAAAAATAATTTTCCCCATTTGCCTATACCTCAGCCAGTCGAACATGAAAACTTCGTTCTAGGCAACGTCTATCCAATGCCTGCCAATCCTAGCCGTCGCACAGTCTAATGGGATCTATTTCACCCAGTTGCAGAATTTTAGAATGTCATGATATTTAATCGATGTTTCTGTGTCACCTTGTTTTTGAACTTTGCGTCTTGAACTTGTTTGACCTCATCTGAGAATGTATCTCTCCCCTTCTCCTCGATGAATGTAGAGATCTGTGAGATGGAATTAAGAAGAGCAAGAGGTTTTTCTGCTTTCACTCCCATGGTAAATGTTCCTTCAGGCTGGTTTGAGTGTGCTCTGGTGAAGATGCAGATCAGGCTTACTGCGAGAAGAGGTTTGTTTAGTTAGTGGAGACACGAAATTAGACAGTTTAACCATACTAAAAATTCCAGGCTGACTCCTCAGGATCAGAATCGAGGCGATTGAAAGCATTTTATTGGATTTGTTATTTGGCTCATAATAAAGCAGAAATGTATATCCTTTCTGTGTACTGACCTTCTAGCCGGTCGGCGATGCGAGCTTCATTTAGTGGTACCACGGTGCCATGATTTTTTGCTGCACTAAGCAAGTAAAACATTATAAGGGTGTAGTGGGGTTACCTGCGGTGAAGAGGATCTCTGAGTTCGACAGGCAGAGGGTCACGAAGAGAAGGTAAACGATATTGGCTAAACTTGTCCGCTCTCTTTCTATTAGCAGAGAGAGTTGGCATGTCCAGCGATAGCCTTTAATTGGGGGGGCCGGGGCCTGGGCGGTGTTTAGAGCGGCCATCTTTTGACTCCAAATAACAATGGCGGCAGAATTTCCTTAACTAATGTAGTTCTTATGATTGCGGATTAGTTTTCTCTCTAGTGCGATCGTGTTACATCAACTTCAGGAGCAGCCATTACTCCCAGTACATTTAAGCTGCAAATACTTTGTATTCTTTGTACTTGGACCTCAACTAGAAAAGTGTTTCTACATTTCAATAGCAACATTTCTGTAAATAAGTATCTGACTCACTAGATGCTGACTACTAAACACTCTGATATTTTCATTTCATGGTGGTTTTAAGCATTTGTGTCACTTAGGTCCACTGTCACTATGTACTTTAACCGTGTTTTATACAGTTTCCTTTCATAACATTCCTCCAAAATTAATTTAGCAGGTGAAGGCTTCCACATTGAAGCACAAAGACGGCATTGTGTTCCTCTGCTTCTTTTGAAATTGTAAAAAAGATTGATAACTATCCTTAGATTACATTAATTGTATTCTTGTCAATCTTATTTATTCATGTTTCTTTGCTTTACTTATTTTCTATATAAAATACTATCCTGTCTCTTTTTTATCATCTAAATCTTTTGGTGCTTACTTGTAATGGAAATTCTTACCGAATACGTGCTAAACATATAACGGTACCACTTTACAATAAGACTGTTATGAATAGTTTGTAATTCATTTATTCAATTGGGTTGTGAACACTTTATAAATCCTTAATAAGCTTTTATAAGACACGAGATAAACAGGGCAACTGTGACCGGTTGCTTGCCAAATAGTGAGCCCACATTTATCTGTACTGCTAAGCCGTATGTTGGCTACTTATACTTCGTCTTCGTCATCAGCTAGCATCCTTGGTATCTGTTGCTCACTGAGTTGATTCTCGTTAAGTAGCCAATGTAAGGCTTAGTCCGCTTGCCAAATAGTGAGCCTGTGTTGATGTATGAAAACTGTTAGAAATTGTTTATAAATGGTTCTTAATGATTAATAAAGTGTTTACAACCTAATTTATAAACCCTTTATAAGATTTGTTACGTTCCCTACTGGACTAGGGGAACCAAAGGGAAGTAACAAAATACAAAACAAACCGGGCAAGAGAAAAAAGGAGAAGAAACCGTTTTGTGAAGCCACAAGATGGTCTTTTAATTGATCAAAGAAAAAGGGCTCACCAGCCAACTTGCAAAGTAAACTAAAACAACGTTCTTCTAACAGAAAGTGACTAACAAGGTACAAAGGTACACATCTCCTAACAATGAACAACACACACGTTAAACTAGGCCTCACACAGAGACCACGCTGCACACATGCAGCCAGAGGAGAAGGAGAGAGCGACTGCAGCCTTTCTCAGGTCCTTTAGGGAGGCCCTGATTGGGGATTGGGAGCACCTGAGGGAGAGGCTGCACCTGGAGACAATCAGGGGGAAAGAGAGAGACACACACAAACACCCCACACACACACAAAAACCCACTACGGCACATAACAAGGGTAACCTTATTGTAAAGTGTTACCGAATTGCTAGATGCAGCCTTCCTTAAGCGACATTTAATGATGCGTCACCTCCGCAGTTCATAACAGTATTTTTGTTTTTCTCTTCTCCCAGGTGGAAAGGCTTGCCACACATCTGACTCTTAATGATGTCAGACTCCTGAACATCTTCCTCTCTCTGAAGTGGACAGACTTTCGTCGGGATGATTTCACAGCAGGTGATTCACTCCAGCACTTCAGTCAGTGAGGTTGAATCAGCCGCAGGTGTTATTAAAGCCATCCATCATTCTGGGAGTCTACCAAGTGATCACCTGAGTGACATTAAACACCCCCGCTCTGTGTAGGTAGATCTGCTGGTTTAGTTTTTTATGGCCATTTCTCGTTAATAAGACACCGGGGGATAACTCCATCCTACACTCCTATCTTTTATCGATGATGTGGAAAATCTTGTGATACCGAGATCGTCTGTAATCATGATGGCCGCCGCCCTCTTTCAAGAGAAGGAGCATTCCCTCCTCCAGCTGCAGGAGGTGGACTCCAGTCGAGTTGGATGTCGCGCCCTCCCTCCTCCCCTCAGGGCCTCCTCTCCTGGGTTATCCATGGAGAACCAGCCCATCTGCATCCCCTCCCCGTACACCGACATCGGCCACGACTTCCCCCCCCTCCCTTTCTACAGTCCGACCATCTTCACGTACGCCGGGCCGGGTATCTCCGACTGCCCCTCTGTCCGTCAGTCGCTCAGCCCCTCCTTGTTCTGGCCCAGTCACAGCCATGTGGGGCCCCTCCCCCTGCACCAGGCCCAGGCTCGGCCCCCTCAGCCGGTCCACAGCCCCTGGGTGGAGCTGCGGGACGGCGTCCTGATGGCCAGGTAGGATGCATCAGAATCCCTTTATTCGTCCCACAGAGGGGAACTTTGCATTTGTTACAGCAAGAAAAAAGCCAAAGACAGCTTGATATTAACCAAGAAGCATGCTTAAAATGGTGCATTACTTCTAGCTATTCTTTAAGTCAAATAACTCCTAGAGCCAAATTTCTAATTTGTCTTCAAATTGCACATTTTGTTAGAACAGAAATAAAAAAAATAAAAAATTCAATTATTAATTTTTAAACAAATGACTGAACGTATAAGTCAACAAATCTAAATTATTGACAAACATCTGTTGATCCACTTACTGACCAATAGACAAACAGTTTGAGACTAACGGCCCGTCTACACTACAGGCATGAAAAAATCTTGAAGCTGGGCGTGTCTGAAGCTTGGCGATTTTTTGCGAGCAACCAATCACATGAATCTCCCGCCCCCGACATACAAAGCAATAGCAATGTTAAAACGAAGTAAACTGGATATAAACTCTCCAAACAGGCGAAAAACCTACCAGTTTCACCCACTGTCTCTGCCACCTCCCTCCATGCCTGGTTCCTCCGGTTTGTATCCCGGTAAATAGTTCCGGTCGTAAAGAACCGGGTGATTTGCTACCGTAATATCTCGTTTGGAATATGAGGAAATGAACTGCGGTCTGGCTCTCCCAGCTTGCACGCGGTTTGATTGGCTGCGCTTGCACCGGCGGGATTTGCATAAACGGGATTTGATTGGCTGATGCCAAGCATCGAGCCTCAAAAGTTGAACATTGTTGAACATTTTGATGCCGATAGATGCTCGTGATGCCATGCCATGCTCCCCACAATGCAGTTCGGTGAAGATTAAAAATCTTCTACGTCACCCCATTCAAGTGAATGGGCGAAGTGTTGAAAGCATTCTTTGATGCCTGTAGTGTAGACGTACCGTAAGTCTTCAAAGTTGCGTTATCTAGACCCAACATTTTCCCTTACCAGTCAAAATATAACCTTTTCCAATGTGAAAAGATACTATTTTAAAGATTTCAAAGCTTTATTTCCAAATGCACAATCGTTACAGCGGAGTTTGGCAATGTAAATCTTAAGAGCCAGGCTCCTCTTACCATGCAACAACAATTGACTCAAGACATAAGAACAAGTAAAAATAGAGAAAAGTGACACATTGTGTAAATAAATGCATGTAAATTAGAATGAGATAAATAAGATTTCTCTCATCACCTCAAGTGTTCCCTGCTTAACAAATGCTGCAATAATCTAAAATAATCAGTAATCACTCTCCAGATCAGGTGATAATGAATCATTAGAATGCAACATGCCGCACACTTCATTAAACTGCCCTGCATGGTGAGGCCAGACTTCATACTGAGAACAGATTTCATACTGAGAACTGATTTCATACTGAGAACTGATTTCATACTGAGAACTGATTTCATCCTGAGAACTGATTTCATACTGAGAAC